CTGAACGACAGTTTACTTTCAGAAACACTGAAGGCTTTGAAACAAAGGGATTATTGCTTTCAAAAGAGGGAAAACTTCTCAAATAACGGGTTCGTGCGAAGAATCCTTAAAACGCTTCCCGATTGGCGCCACTTTTTGTCGGCAGATATGAGTGAAGACTGTCTCTATCTGAATGTCTTTGCGCCGGACTCTGCGCACAACAAGACAGTCATGGTTTGGATCCATGGCGGAGGATTCATCTCCGGATCCACAGTCTTATACGACGGCTCTATTCTGGCCGCCAGACATGACGTTATCGTCGTTTCCATCGCCTATCGGTTGGGAATCTTCGGCTTCCTGTCTGCCAATGGATCCCTATTTCCCGGCAATTACGGGCTTCACGACCAGGTGTTAGCTCTTCAGTTCATCAAAGACAACATCCAGGGTTTTGGCGGAAACCCTGATAATGTCGTACTCTTTGGACAGAGCGCCGGTGCGATCAGTGTTGGCTATCACTTGATTTCTCCGTTGAGTCGACACTTGTTCCGACGAGCCATCCTTCAGGTGCTTTTCGTTTGATTTTTCTCATTTTAAAAACAATTTTCCTTCAGAGCGGCAATCCTTTGGTGCCGATAATGCTTACCGGAAGGAACACCCAAACTATGGCCGCCATTGATGTCATTCGAGACTTGTGTCCACTACTCGTCACAAACGAGACTCAAGAAGTGACAGAAGCCGGCGTCTCCTGTTTGCGACGCGCCAACGCCTCTCTTCTCACGGACTCGTTCTTTAAGGTCTTCTACTCGAGATTGGGTTCGTTTGCTCCCATTGAAGACAATGACTTCTTTGGCGAACATCCGCAGGAATTGGTTGACAAAAAGCAGTTCTTTGACACCAAAGAGATTCTCATCGGAACCGACGTCGAAGAAGGTTAGGAACCAATGCAGTGATCCTTTAATGGAGGTTTTGTCTCTCTATAGGCGCGTCGTTTGCTTCTTACGGACCGCTCGGAAAGTTCCGGCGCAGCGACCGAATTGACGCCAATTTCACGCGACAGACACTCGTCCAGACCTTCAACGAAACCCTTCCTCCAGAAATGCGTCCCTTCATTGAGGCCGTCC